ACCTAAAGTGTGTTTTGGATTTTGGCCCCCTGTGCAATTGAGTTTGACACCCCTGCTCTAATGTGTCAAACCCTGCCCACCAGAACTATTCACTGCTTTGACTTCCACACTGGAAGAGGAGCTTTGGAATTGTAAGAACACAAGTGGAGCCCCTGTCTGAAATTTACAGGTAGTCCTCGCTCAGCGATCACAATTGGGACCAGCGACTCAGTCACTAAGCACCAGAGTTGCTAAGTGGAAAATCACATGATCGCAGCATGCTTATGACCTTACTTCCCCTTCAGTCATTAAGTGAATTGCCATGACTGTTAAGCAAAACATTATGTGACTGCAACTTACGATTTTTCTCCTGTCTTCTCTATTAACTCTGCTTGTTGCAAACCGGTTGTGAAGCACCCAAATGGCAATCATATGACTGCAGGATGCCTTGATGGTTGTAAATGCTTTTTTTTTTTTTACACCATCATAACTTTGAATGGTTGCTAAACGAGGCAGTCAATAAGCAAGGACTACCTGTACTAAAGCAGCTGTGTGGATCCCTGCAGGTTGCAAAGCATCTCTTTCAAGTCAAAGCTGAAACGTTGCATGCCCCTATGACCCACAAACACAAGCCCAGGAGTCTCTGCAATATACATTTCCCCATCTATAAGGCCACTTCACTAGCATATTAGAAAGATATCATTTCCTATCAAACATTCAGTGTGAACATGGAAGGGAAATAAAAGTCTATTTATAATTATATACCCCTTGAGAATATTTGTTCAACTAAATACATGCAACTGGAAGTTATTATTCCTGATTTTTTTTTTAATTCCCAAAAATTCCATTTGGAAGAACAGAAGGGATTAATGGGCTCAAAAGAAGGGGCTTTCTCCACTGAGAGGCTAAAGGGCAATAATCACGTAGAAGAAATAGAACCAGCGAGGATCTAAAAGTGACTATCCTGAATCTGGATTTGATCATCAATCTTCATTTTGCACAGGAAATTAATTTTAGGTCTCTTGTGACAAATGATTATGACTTAATAAGCTGTAATTTAATTAAAACTCTATGCACTTAGAACAACTCTGGAAGGCTAGAGACATGAAGGAAAAATATAAATATAACATTTCAAATGAATCATTTGTCCCTAAGTGAATTCAGAAATAGATCACAAGTTTGCAAGTTATAAAAGTAATAGAAACAGTTCCTCCCTGTCCAACCCTTCCCTCCCTTCCCTTTCCTTTTCTCTATGGCTTCTTCTATATCAGATTACAGTTCATAAAGTCCTGAAAGCAGGTCTTGCATCCTAACATCTAGTAAAGCACATATAGTGGTGCCGCTATGGCATGATAACTACTCTTTTCATTGTAGTTTCCAAGAATGAACGTGGGCCATTACTTAGGATAGGGGAGGGCAAAATGAGACCTTTAGCTACGAGTCTTTGGTGATTCTACTCGGAAAACCAACGGCATGGATTCTAGTCATTTTGAGGCAATAAGCCTACATAAACTGTAAAACTGAAAAGTCTTTGCTCTGGCTCAGGAGTTCTTATAAAGGAATGAGGAGTCCTCTCCTACCTATGAACTCACTGACATATTTATTTGTTGGTGCTCTCTTCTACAGTAAATTGTTACAATCATAATTTGACTGAGATACTAGGACAGACTTACCTGCACTTGGGCCTCTCTTCTCATCAGATAGCGCATTTTGCCTAGGATACATTGCTGCAGCTGTTCCCATGACATGGCTCTATCTTCCCGCATCAGTAGTGGAGGGCCAAACCTGAAAAAAAACATTAATTATCCATGATAAGAGGCTGCACTTATTTTAGAGACATCTGCAAGAAAGCAAAGCTTTAGGTACCTCCATTCATCTAAGAACACAAATGATGTTGATGCTTCACTCATTCACTGAAAGAAGTATCAACATGGCAAACTGCTGAAATTGGTATACGGAAAGGATAAGACCAAAATTACAAGAAAAACAAGGTGGTTTTTCCCCCCCCTCTACAGACAACTGTATCATTAAACTACTCATATACCAGCTTGGAAACTGAAATTTTGTTCTTATGTAACCCAGAACATACTGATGATTAAAACATTTGTTTTTCAAAACATGAAGTTCAAAGTACATCTCAAAATATTTAAGTTACTGTTAGACCACCCACAAAGCTAAAAATTTGCTATGGGCAAAAGGCAAGACAAACACCTAAAAATATAAAAAAGGGGATATTTTTGCACACCACAACCATAATAAGATGCATTAATTGGACCTTGCAATGTGGGCCATCTTCTTGCGTAGAGCAAATCCCACAAGATATTGTTTCTTCAAATCTGCATTTAGAAATAAAGACACTGCCACAAATTTAAGTGCTTATGCTTTCAGGTTACAGATTCTCTTTACTCACAAAATTGTAAGATTCTTAACAAATTATACCTCTTTCATCTCTTGCTTTTTGGGCAGGATGGAGGGGATAATTCATACCTTTGGTTTAAGGATATGTTTTCAATAGTCTCTTTTTTCAAGTAATTTTATTAAAGATTATAATCACAATAGTAAAAACTAATACAAACTAACAGAAAAAATAGAACAAAAGGTGCAAAGGGGAAAAAAGTAAGATGTAAAGAATAGAAACAAAAAGGAAAAGGAAGAAAAGGAAGAATATAGTAAAGAAAAAGAAAAGAAACATATAAAGAAATGACTTCCAACCTTCATCACAAGTATAAACAATTTTAGTAACTTTTCACCTCCTCTTAAATTACAACAAATAATCTCTTCTTCCCATATTCCATCTGTTATTTTCAATAGTCTTGGGTCATTCATACATGAAAATGTCACTAATTTCTACCCAGCAATTTTAAAATGTCCCACATTTCTATGTGTAATCTACATGCCACGATAACTTTAGTGAAATTTGGTTTCATTATCTACATTAATTCTGTAATAATTACTACTATACCACCTAGCATTCCTCTACTACTTTCGAGAAAGATCTCCTCAACAGATCTTAATAAATGTTTTTGTGTGTGTGTGTGTTTCATTAGCAATACCAATCCTTTCTTTAAAAAAACAAGTACAGTGGTACCTCTACTTACGAACGCCCCTACTTACGAAATTTTCGAGATACGACCAGCCCCGGCCACAAAAATTAACCTCCACTGACGAACTTGCCTCTGCTAACGACCCGGATCCTAGGCCATTTTCCCTGCTGCCACACGGTTGCGGCTTCCTGTGGGTGAGATCGCAGTAGCAAGGAGACGTTCGGTGGGGCTTGTGGTGTGTTTTGTGGCGTTTGG